CTGGGATAGAGAGGTGTAATAAACATTTACTAAATTTGGTGTCAAACAGCAAAACCTCCTTAAAGCAAACAAACAAAAACAAGGCCTCATGTACCTCAGATTGACTCCAAACCTAATATATAGCCAAGGTGGCCTTGAACTTCTGATTCTTCTGCCTTCAGCACTTGAGTGCTGGGATTACAGACGCGCACCACCATGCCAAGCTCTATGTGGCACCAGAGGTGGAATCCAGGGTTCATGCATACTAGGCAGGCATTCTACCAACTGAGCTACACCCCGCCCCAGACTGCTCCTTTCTTTGCAGCCCATCCTGGCATGGAAGTCCTGGCTCCTGGAGGAAGCCTGTGATAACACGCACATTTACATAATGCCACAGTGGCAAGTGTCTCAGGCTTATGATGATCTTGTAAGATTGACAGATCTAAGATTCTAACCACACATCATACTCATTCATCGACCACAAATGGAATATGAAATATAGTACAGGTGCTGGGTTAAACCCAAATAATGACAGCTAACATTTATCAAATGTGCCAGGCAGTTCACATGGCTCGGACTCAAGTCAATTCTCCTAAGAGCCCTATAAGATATCACTGTTATCACCTGCTCTGTGGGTGAGGAAGCTGTGGCACAAATAGTAAAACTATTGCTGGGTGGCATACAATCTGAGTGTAGCTGACCATGATTTTAACCCAGCAGCCCAACTGTATACGTTCAACCACAACAGCACTGATGGGGCCTTTAGAATCATCTAGCCAAAATTCCTCACTAAAGAGGAGCCGAGAGATAGAGAATGCCACTTTTAAACATTCCAGCATGGGATGGGGGGAATTCATACTTTGAATGCTATCTATTTCAATGATACGTTTCCCCCCAAAAGCCATACATTATTAAAGGAAAACCTTAGTGCCAGGAGTAGCCTACCTCACCATGAGCTATTTTGGTCTGGGTTTGCTAAATGAACAGAATTAAGAATGAATGTACTGGGCTGGAGAGATGGCTCAGTGGTCAAGAGCATTGCCTGCTCTTCCAAAGGTCCTGAGTTCAATTCCCGGCAACCACATGGTGGCTCACAACCATCTGGAATGAGGTCTGGTGCCCTCTTCTGGCCTGCAGACATACACACAGACAGAATATCGTATACATAATAAATAAATTAAAAAAAAAGAATGAATGTACTTATTAAAAGGGGATTTGATAGATTGGCTTACATGATGCAACAGTCCAACAATGGCTGCCACTCACTGTAGAGGCCAAGAAACAGGCAGTTGTTCAGTTCACAGGACTGGATGTCTCAGCAGTCCCCATTCAAATCACTGGAGATGCCCTCGAGGGACCCAAAACAGGCTAATGCCACTGCTGCTGGTTGCCCTCGCCTCCCTGAGATCTATATAGGCACTCCATGGTTGCTGAAGAAGAGGCACTTCCTTCCTCAGAAGGAGAGGGTAAGAGGTTATTGCTGGAGAAGCAGCTGGAAGCTTCCCTGGTGCTGGCTGTGCCTCACAAGACTGAAAGGTGCTATGCAGCCTGCTGGGGAGGAAACGTCACCAGCAGTGTCACTTGGCTGTGCGTGCTTCATCAGACCATAATGACCTGCCCAGGGAGATGTACCCACTCCTGCAGTAGTGGCCTGGCTGTTACAGGGTAACCAACAACTTTCTGCTTGGATCTGAGGCCTTCTCCACAGAAAGGAATTCCCATCTGGCGCTGCAACCTGGCCAAAAGCCCATGGCTGGAGAGGACACAGGCCCTAGTGGGGAAGCCACTGCTGCTATATTACTAAATGAACATGATATATCTGTCAAACTACATCTGAAACATTTAGATTGATGCCTATAGATTAGTGATGAAGTCAGTTTTGCTCAGAGAAGCTTCTTCTGCAGTGGGCAGCGGTCATTGAGACTCATAGCTGATCAAGGTGCTGAAAGTAAGGGACTGTGTGCTCAGCCTAGTGGGGACATTTTACCCCTTCCACGGTTCCGAGAACATCACAGAAGAGGGGATAGAAAGAATGTAAGAGGCAGAGGAACGGGGGTGGAGTGCATGGAATGCTGTCTTTGGGTAGGATATGGATGTGGCCCCTGGACTCTCAGCAGCTATGCTTGCCTGTGTAGATACCTGGCACTGAGCCCATCAATATTCAGTCACGCCTCCCTGAGATCTATATAGGCACTCCATGGTTGCTGAAGAAGAGGCACTTCCTTCAGTTACCAAAACACTAATAAACTGACTGTGCTCTTATAAACGACCCCTCACTGGCAGGGGGTGGTGGAACTGCTTTTTATCCCAGCACTTAGGAGGCAGAGGTAGGCGGATCTCTGAGTTCGAGGCCAGCAAGGCCTACACTCTGACAGGGCTACACAGAGAAACCCTGTCTCAAAAATAAATAAATAGATAGATAACCCCGCACTTGCAGTGCTATAAGCATTCCTAATTAAACTGGTTAAATTGCCAAAGGAGTGGGGAGATGTGGACGGGGGAGGGGAGACACACACTGTTTGGTAAGAGAGAGATCAGAGGGAATGGGAGGATAATGGGGATGAATGTGAGCAAAACACACTACATACATTTATAAAAGCGTCACAGTGGGGCTGGGGAGATGGCTCAGCCCCACGCTTGCCACACAGGCCCTGACAGCCTGAGTTTACCTGAGCCTCATCCCCGGACACACATAAAGGTGGAAGGAATCAGCTCCACAAAGTTGACTTCTCACCTCCACATGCCATAGCATAGGCTGGCACTCATGCATGCACATCACACACGCACATCACACACACAACACAAACATGCACATCACACACATGCACATCACACACATGCACAACACAAACATGCACATCACACACACGCACAACACACACGCACAACACACACATGCACATCACACACACAAAACACAACATGCACATCACACACGTGCACATCATGCACACGCTCTCGCGCACATCACACACGCACAACACACACGCACAAAACACAACATGCACATCACACACACGCACATCACACACACAACACACACATCACACACACAAAACACAACATGCACATCACACACATGCACATCATGCACACACTCTCGTGCACATCACACACATGAACATCTCACACACACATGCACATCAAGCACATACATGCACATCACATGCAGACACATGCACATTAAGCACAAACACACATGCACATCATGCACACATACATGCACACATGCACATCAAGCACATACACACATGCACATCACGCACACATACATGCACACATGCACATCACATGCACACAAATACAGTAATAAAAGTATTTTTAAAAGTCAATGAAATTTATTAGATAAAATGAATATATGCTAGTAGCAAACGCAACAAACAAAGCTTTTTCTGAGATCGTGTTCCCATGCCACTGGGAGAACAACCTCTAGCCAAAGCAATTAGAAGCAACTCAAAATACCCTTGTGGCCTTCTAGCAGTTACTGTTGAGAAAGCAGAGGCATCGGGGAGCTGGGGATAAAATGCATGTCCAGCTCCATCACACTGTAAACCTCAGATTCTTAGGCAAGCCAAATTCAATTTTCTCAGGCACAGGTTTCTCATCTACAAGACGGGTGACATCACCAGCTGCCTGACAAAGTCTGTGAAGATTAAATGAGATAATACGCCTCAAAAAACTTCTTATCATCAAGCTATAAATGCTCACTACTACTCTAAGCACTTCCCAGAAGAGATAAATATACTCCTGTTCTTCTTATACCGGGTGATGGACAAGGCACAAGTACAAAACAAAACCATAACCCCACCCCCGTCATCTACAGAATCTTATCTCTGGGTTTCTTCCCATCAGTACCTCTTGAGAGATCAACAACTCCCCTCCTCTGAGCAGACCAAGAAGTAAAACTGTGGCTGGGGAATGGCCAGGGTAGAAGGAATACCTGTGAGCTGGCAAGCTACACACCTAAGCCCTTTGGTCTCAGGTCCTTCCCCTCCTGGAAGGCTTCCATCCCATCCCAAATACCTCACTACAGTGCGGTAAGCACTAACCAGGTGTTTTCTAGAGTGGGGGCTCACAAGTACCTATCCTTACCTACAAAAGGATTTATAGGCAGTTAACGGTAGCTAGGGGGAGGGGCTCACAAGACCCCGCCCATTCCTGAGGTGTCACGACGCCCCACCCCCACCAGGGCACCTCAGATGAATTAAAGGTGATTGAGGGGGTAGGACGCATTTTCTTCTGAGTTGTAGCCATTGGTAAAATGTCCATGTTCCTGCAAAGAACCCGGCACCAAGTTCTTGCAAGCTGCCCTAGGGCATGGAATTAGAAGGGACTAGAAGAAGGGAGGGGGTCAGTGGGAGAGGGACATGACCAAAATACATCATACACACGAATGAAACATGAAACGTCATAATGAAACCCGTTATTATGTGTAATTAACATCTGCTAATTAAAAAAAAAGCGCCATGTGCCGAGCTACTCCAGACGCCAGTCCTACTGGCTTCCCATAGCAGTCCATTATCCCACTTCACAGAAGAGCAGAAGACTCAATGCCACGAGATGCAGCTTCAAACTCAAGCACACAGACTTCAAACAGGACTCTTGATCCCCACATAGAGTACCCGGGCCACTCTCCCTCTTCCCACTTGGAACCCTTTCAAGTACACGTCTCCTCGGCATGTGTCAGGACCCCACTGGACAGACAGATCTGCTGCTGCCAGAGAGGGCAAGGGGTTTTTGTCCAAGGTCACACAGCCAGGCAGGCACAGCTCTGGGGCTCGGACCTCAGGCGCTTGCTTCCGGGGCTGCCTCCCCAGCCAGGACCCGGGACCACGGCCGCAGAGCGGCAGTGAGGACTTAGCAGGGGCGGCCGAGATGGGGGGGTCGTGCCGACCGCGCCCGCGAAGGAACCTGGCGGTCAGATAACCCAGGTGCCGGGCAGAGAGGATACTGCGGCTCGCGGAGCAGCGACGCCAGGACAACGCTGGGCGCCCCGCGGGGACCCCGCATCCCGAACTCACCTGCAGCCGCAGCCGAGAGCGGGCGGCGCCGGCGAACCCCGTGCTCAGCCATTCCCCGCTGCCCCGGATGGGGAGAGAACACGGCCGCTCACTTCCTTAGCAACCCGGCTCGGCGACCCACTTCCTTAGCAACCGCGTCAATTTCAATAACTTTATTGGGCTCGGAAGCGGACAGCGCAGCAAGGGGCGGGACCCGGTGTGCAGTGGCGCTTCCCAGGTTCTCCGCGTGCGCCACCACTCTGACCCACCTAGGACCCCAGGCTGCATCCGCAGGTCCCCTGTAACCTCGTTCTGTGAAACCGAGCTCGATGTCTTGGTCGCACTACGCGATTATTCCATCGTCCCCTTCTGAAAGCTCTTTCTCTCGTCAGTTCTCTGATCTGGGTCTCAGATAAGTATAGAGCGGCTCCCAATCAGGGTGCACCCAGGGATGGAGCCAAATCCTTAGGAAAATCCTCGACTCTGCTCTGCCTGGCACTTCCATTGAGCCACAGCGTCCCTCGGTCTGCCTTTCAAGTACACCTGCATTTCTCCACCAGCAAGGGATAGCACCACAAACAAGGCCAGGCCACCATCATCTTTAGCCTAGCCTGCAATTCCTATTCTCTCTGTTCGTAGACTTTTTGGTCTGGCAGTCCATTCCCGACGAAATGACCTGAATAATAATTTTAAAACCTGGAACACCTCACATCACCCTCCCTTGATAGCATCTTTGGCGTCCCGCTACTCTCATCATTAAATCAAAAAGCCTAGGTTGAGCATAATGGCTCGTGCCTGTAATCTAACACTTGGGAAATGGAAGCAAGAGGATGAGCAGTTCAAAACCATCCCCAGGTATAGAGCAAGTTTGTGGCCAGATCGGACTACACAGCGAGACCCACTCCCCTAATACCAAAGCAAATATACATAGTTGTGCCAGACAGTGGTGGTGCATGACTTTAATTCCAGCACTCCGGAGGCAGAGGCAGGCAAATCTCTGCGAGTTCAAGGCCAACCTGATCTACAAAACTAGTTCCTGGACAGCCTATAATACACAAGAGGGTGGGGATAGAGAGATGGCTCAGGGGTTAAGAGCACTGGCTGCTCTTCCAGAGGTCCTGGGTTCAATTCCTAGCAACCACATGGTGGCTCATGATCCTGGGTTCAATTCCTAGCAACCATATGGTGGTTCCTGATCATCTATAATGAGATCTGGTGCCCTCTTCTGGCCTGAAGGCATACATGCAGAACACTCATATACAAATACTTTTCTAATTTATTAAAAAAAAGTCTCCAACCCCAGCAGCACAGACAGTAAGGGCCTCATTGAATAAATGGGACCTCCTGAGACTGAGAAGCTTCTGTAAAGCAAAGGACACTGTCGCTAAGACAGAAAGGCAACCCACTGACTGGGAGAAAATCTTCACCAACCCCACAACTGACAAAGGTCTGATTTCCAAAATATATAAAGAACTCAAGAAACTAGACCGTAAAAGGCTAATCAACCCAATTATATAATGGGGAACTGAGCTGAACAGAGATCTCTCAACAGAAGAAGTTCAAATGGCCAAAGGACACCTAAGGTCATGCTCAACTTCCTTAGCGATCAAGGAAATGCAAATCAAGACAACTTTAAGATACCATCTTACACCTGTCAGAATGGCTAAAATCAAAAACACCAATGATAGCCTTTGCTGGAGAGGTTGTAGAGAAAGGGGTACACTCATCCATTGCTGGTGGGAATGCAAACTTGTGCAACCACTCTGGAAAGCAGTGTGGAGGTTTCTCAGGAAACTCGGGATCAACCTACCCATGGACCCAGCAATACCACTCTTGGGAATATACCCAAGAGAGGCCTTATCATACAACAAAAGTATATGCTCTACTATGTTCATAGCAGCATTGTTTGTAATAGCCAGAACCTGGAAACAACCTAGATGCCCTTCAATTGAAGAATGGATGAAGAAAGTATGGAATATATACATATTAGAGTACTACTCAGCAGTAAAAAACAAGGACTTCTTGAAGTTTGCAGGCAAATGGATGGAAATAGAAAACACTATCCTGAGTGAGGTAAGCCAGACCCAAAAAGAGGAACATGGGATGTACTCACTCATATTTGGTTTCTAGCCATAAATAAAGGACATTGAGCCTATAGTTCGGGTTCTTAGAGAAGCTAAATAAGGAGAACCCAAAGAAAAACATATAGGCATCCTCCTGAATATTAACCTTCATCAGGCGATGAAAGGAGACAGAAACAGAGACCCACATTGGAACACCGGACTGAAATCTCAAGGTCCAAATCAGGAGCAGAAAGAGAGAGAGCACAAGCAAGGAACTCAGGACCACGAGGGGTGCACCCACACACTGAGACAATGGGGATGTTCTATCGGGAACTCACCAAGGCCAGCTGGCCTGGGTCTGAAAAAGCCTGGGTTAAAACCGGTCTCGCTGAACATAGCGGACAATGAGGACTACTGAGACCTCAAGAACAATGACAATGGGTTTTTGATCCTATTGCACCTATTGGTTTTGTGGGAGCCTAGGCAGTTTGGATGCTCACCTTACTAGACCTGGATGGATGTGGGTGATCCTTGGACTTCCCACAGGGCAGGGAACCCTGATTGCTCTTTGGGCTGATGAGGGAGGGAGACTTGATTGGGGAGGGGGAGGAAAGGGGAGGCGGCGGTGGGGAAGAGACAGAAATCTTTAATAAATAAATAAGTCTCCAAGAACAATAACAGCACACAATTATAGGAAAAATATGCCACCTTCTGATGACTCAGTGAAAAGGCACTTGCTTGACAACTTGAAGAACCCAGGGACCCACTTGCAGAGGGAAAAGAAACAGCTAAAGCTGTCCTCTGACCTTAGCACATGTGTGCGCACACACACACACAGACACTCACAATGTAATGAAAAGATACTAAACTGACTTAAAGTAAAGCTTACCTGTACAAGTTACAAACACTTTACTGTGCCAAGCAATAACACGTAGTGCAATATATATATACCTATGTTTCATCTCCTCCACAACTTTTGGATCTTTCCTATTCTTTTCTTTTTGGATTTTCAAGACAGAGTTTCTCTGTAGCTTTAGAGCCTGTCCTGGAACTAGCTCTTGTAGATCAGGCTGGCCTCGAACTCACAGAGATCCGCCTGCCTCTGCCTCCGGAGTGCTGGGATTAAAGGCGTGAGCCACCACCACCCAGCATTTTTGTTTTTTTTTCTAAAGCTAATAATTACCAAAAATTTTCCCCATTTTCATTAGCTCTTTTTTGTTGCTATTTGTGCCCTTCCCCATTCCAGGATGGCCTTAAATTCACTATTTAAACAAAAATAACCTAGATCATCTTTTTTTGTTTTTAAAATGTATTATACATAGTGTTTTGCCTGCTGCCAGAAGAGGGCACCAGATCTTATTACGGATGGTTGTGAACCACCACATGGTTGCTGAGAATTGAACTCACAACCTCCAGAAGGACAGTCAGTACTGTTAATCTCTGAGCCATCTCTCCAGCCCATAACCTGGAACTTCTGCTCCTCTGCCTAAGTTCTGACATCGCAAACACATGTTGCACCACCTCCTGTTTAGGTGGTGCTGGGATGGAACCTGGGCCCTCGTGAATGCTGGATGTGAACTCTTATCATCTGAACTCCAATCCCACACTGGTAGTTTTGGTGTGTGTGTGGGGGGGGGGTTATTTGTTTCATTTTGTTTAAATTTTATGTATATAGGTGTGTTGCAGCTTGAATGCCTGTGCACCCCATGTGTGCATGGCACAAGGAGGCCAGAAGAGGGCATCAGAACCCTTGAAACTGAAGTTAGAGATAATTGTGAGCCACCATGTGGGAGTCAAGAACAGAACCTACGTCCTCTGAAAGAACAGCAAGTGCTCCAAACTACTAAGATCTCTCCAGGCTGTTGTAGAATACTAGTTAAAGATGTGTCACGTTGGGGGCTGGAGAGATGGCTCAGTGGTTAAGAGCATTGCCTGCTCTTCCAGAAGTCCTGAGTTCAATTCCTGGCAACCACATGGTGGCTCACAACCATCTGGAATGAGGTCTGGTGCCCTCTTCTGGCCTACAGACATACACACAGACAAAATATTGTATACATAATAAATAAATAAATAAAAAAAAGATGTGTCACGTTGTTTATGCTGTGGAGTATTTGTTTAATGACTCAAAGATGTGTTGCATTCTTTATGTTGCATTTGTTTAACTCTGTGAAGCCATATTACTTTGTCTGTCTAAAACACTGAATGGTCTAATAAAGAGTTGAATGGCCAGTAGCTAGGCAGGAGAAAGGATAGGCAAAGCTAGCAGGCAGAGAGAATAAAAACAAGGAAAAATCTGGGAGGAGAAGATCAAGGAATGAGAAAAGAAGAAGAGGAAGACATCAGGGGCCAGCCATCCAACTACACAACAAGATACGGAATAAGAAGGAAAGAAAAGACATACAGAAATATTGAAAGGTAAAAGACAAGAGGCAAAAGGCAGATGGGATAATTTAAGTTAGAAAAAGCTGGCTAGAAACAAGCCAAGCTAAGACCAGGCATTTATGAGTAATAATAATTCTCTGTGTGATTTATTTGGGAGCTGGGTGGCAAGGCCCCAAAGAGCTAAAAGAGTAAAAAGCAAACGAACAAACAAACTACAATAACACAGCCCCTATTTTCATTTGTTTGTTTGAGACACCGTTTCTCTGTATAACAGCACTGGCTGTCCTAGAACTCACTCTGTAGTTCAGGCTGGCCTCGAACTCATAGAGATCCTCCTGACTCTGCCTCCCAAGTGCTGGTATTAAAGGTGTGCACCACCAACATCTGGCTGTATTTTTTTATTTTTTAAGATGAACTTTCACACTGCACCCCAGGCAGGCCTGAAACTTACAGCAACCCTCCTGCCTCAGCCTCCTGAGTGTTGGGATCATGGGTCTGAGCCACCATGTCTATCATATCTCTCCAGTAAAATACTAATTCATCTAGATTCGTGTTTTTTTGTTTGTTTGTTTGTTTGTTTGTTTGTTTTCGAGACAGGGTTTCTCTGTAGTCATCTAGATTCTTTTTTTTTTTTTTTTTTTTTTTTTTTTTTTTTTTTTTTTTTGGTTTTTCGAGACAGGGTTTCTCTG